TGGATTTACCACCTCCTGCTGGCCTGAGTTTTTCAAATAATTTCCACTCAAGCTATCTATATTATGTGGTGTGGATTTCAGTGTCTCTTCCCATTAGATTCCTGTAGTAATTGTGAGGATGTAGTTTTGATTGGCCACATGTCTGTGTAAAGGCCTTTCTGTTTTGCACATTTGGTTAGTTCACTCGAGCTGGGTTGGAATTACTGATTTTTATTTTTCCCATGGAATAACTTAAAAACTTTACAGAATAGTCAAGGTCCTGACATGCTGTCACTCTGAGCCTTCAGCTTAAGGGTTTGCTCTTAATGTGAGAGCTAAGTAACATGCTTGCTTGTTTTCAGATGATGTCTCAGTCTTATTGGACGTGCTTAAGCACTGAGATAAGAAGTAAACATCTGCAGAGTCACTCTATAATCACTGATTACTGCAGATAGTTTTGGTGATTTATCTGTGATGTTTTGCTGAAAACAGCTGACGATTAGCAGCTGTTCTTCCAATCTTGTCTATGTTTTGTATGAGTTAAGTGATCATATAAAACATCTAGATATTTCATAGTGGGCAGTTAGCTGCATAGGTAGTGGGATCCATATGGGTGCATTCCTGATTCCACAAGGATTTTATAGGGATGGCAGGGAACATACAGGGAACTTGCTATTGGATTTGGATCATCATCCACTTTCTTTCCAGCAGAGAAAAGTGCAGTTATAGTTTTAAATATATTAAACTATATTTGTAAATCAAGACAGGTTCATGATTAAGGCCTGGTTAGATTTTGTACATAAGTATGCTTTAAATTTATGCTTAGAGAGGAGAGAGAGAGGGGCTGATGTGTGTCTGTTGTGTCCCAGTACAACAGTTGATCAACTACCATACTATAGACAGGCTCCATCTATAGATCTTTTGGAAAACTTCCCTAGAAAACAGTATTTCTTTACTGAGGCTAACTAGCCAGAAGGACCTGTTTTCCATAATAACCACTATTGTATTTTAGGGATAAAAACAACTGGCTCAACAGTGAGAGAAATTAAACAAAAAAAAGCAAGCACCTTTCAGCAATTTGAGTGAAGCAACAGAGAAAGCAATCAGTGTCTGTAACAGTCTGCAAGACATGGTCCAGCACAGTAACCTTACACTTTTTTGGAAATAAATCAGCTTTATTTAGAATAGTTCTTTCCTGCTAATGAAGTTAACTAATTAAATGGTTTTATCTCAGATTCTGAGTCTGCTCACATCTGCTGATTTTTGGCTGCCTCTGTCTCCCATGATACACAAATAATCACAGGTGACAATGTAAAAACAGAAACATCCTGAGAGGTTTTAGTGAACCTATGTTATGCTTGTGGGTATCCTTTTTCATTTCCATCCATCTTCTCATCTTTCTTTAGAACTAGATTAAGGAGGGAAATCTTTCACTGCTTTCTGTATTGGAACAGCTGTATTTCATCTGATGGTTCCCCCTGTAGGTTTCTCAGTGCTCCTCATTTGCTGATCTTTCAGTTTTTCTGTGTCTTTTTTGCCAGTGACCTCTCTGAGACCGGTCACACTTCCAGTAACTTTCCTCTTACTTTCTCCTGTTTTCTTTTGTTGGTAAACTAAAGTACTTCAGGTTGTGGGTCGGTTTTGACTAGTGTTTCATTGGTCCTGGAATGTTATGCTGTTTTTTCTTAAGCTGCATGTAAGCTGGATTGCTCTTGCCTAACCAGTTTTGTTTTAGCTCCAGTTGGTTTTCTCAGATGTTACCAGCCTTTCTAAGCTCATTTTAGATGTATTTAAGTTTTGAAAATACATGTTTAGCATTTATAATTAGTATAGTTATATAATAGGTTTAACATAAGCCTAACCTAGAGGATATCTTAAAAACACAACACACCAAACTGACCGTGGCTGGATCTTTAAGGTCTTGTACATATTTCTGTCTATGACCATTCCTGTACCCCAAAAGATTCTAGCCACGTTTACAAGCATTTAATTCACACAATTTGGAAATTGTTTACACTGTTACTGTCAGTTTTTGTTTGAGGTGTCTAAATATCTGGCCAGGCTTATTTCTCTTAGCCTCTTCAGGAGTCCTTTCCTGTTTTTCTGTTTTCTATTCTCCTTTTGAAAACTACTAAACAATATTCAAGTGGTCTGCATTTTCAGTACAGAGATACTCCATATCCACTGGAGTGGTTTTAAGAGCTTTTCTTAGCAGAGCCACAAAGCTTTAGCATTGTTTTTATTCCCAGTTTATTTTAATCTCTGTCCTGTGCGCTATTGAGTCATGCTAAAAATATCTTCGTTAGACTGCCATTGATCTCCAGCAGAGCATACAGGCACGCTGTGTCTGAGTTCTAGGATAACTTTGCTTTTATTGAATAAGTATATCAGAAATAATAATAATTAAATTAAAACAAAAACAAAAACCTCATTTCTAAATTTCATTTTTGTGTGTTTCTTTTCTAGGATTCTCAAAGAAGTGCATTGATTTCTCATTATTTTTATTAAGATTTTTCTGTTTTAAACTTGCTTTCCCAGCTCTGTACTTAATCCATACTTTGTGCCAAACTGTAGTGTAATTTTGCAGTACTACAGTTTCAGAATTCTTGAAAAATTTTAAAATCAGATTCTTACAAAAAGCAAATTGGAATAACAGCATTTTAATGGAATATTGGGTTAGAGGAAAAATTGTTTGGGCACCACTCTGCTTGGTAGTTTAAAACCAACCAGACACACTGGCTAGCCATGTGCCTTCATTTTGTTTTCCAGCCCAGTAAACACATTCCATCTGTGATGTCTAGTCCATGCATGAATAAAATATGAAGCAATTTAATACCACATAATATGTTGGGGGTTATTCTCTATTCTCAGATGTGAAATGAAAGTATTTCAGATTGCATATTGAAATCTCTTGGGTTTTTTTGCTACTCGTTCAAGGGCCCTGGCTTTCAGGCAGTAGTGTACAAATAATGTCATTTTCTGTAATGTGGAAAACACCACATTATTTGTGGTCTTTTGTTTATATTGTAGCTGTATACTTGGAAGGGGTGGGTGGAAGGAAAGAACAGTTATCTCTCATTCTGGCTTTCTTATACTTGGATTCATTGTGATCATACAAAGCTCATGATCCACCCCAGGCATCAGCCCCATGAGAGCTTGCATGCAGTGAGCAGCTGTGGTTGGATGGCAGAAGTAATTGGAAAGTCTCTGTAGTCCTTCAGCCCATGGCTATTCACCTTTCACAACTCAAATGAAGGGATAAAGGTGATATCTTAATAGCTTTCATTCCTCATCAGCTAAAACCTCTGTGACAACACAGCATATTATCACAAGGCCGTTACATTTTACATGAAGTAAATACTTCACATGTATGCTTGAAACCACATGATCTGCTTTAGAGTTTCTGGGCCTGTATTGCAGACTAGTATAGGACAACTCTCTAAAATGTATTCTTACATGCTGGTCAACACTATGGCTTTTCCTGTAGCATTCAGTGTCTGTGAAAACATAGTGGAGTGACACAGCAGTGGCCTAAACTCACTCTTGTACAGCTGTCAGTGTGATCTCTAATTCCTCACAGCCACATAAATACAGATTAAAATAACCGTGTCATGGCCATTAAATGGTTTCTTTTGTAGTCTATGCTCAAAATTTACAATCTTTGGATAACATTTAGTCCTAACGCTGACTTTTGTTTGTCTGTTTACTTCACTTAAAGTAATGAAACATATTAAAATTAGTGTTTGATTCCTAATTACTAAATAGGATTTTTCTTAAGTCAGCATAGTGCCTCTGACACAATGAAAAATGACCACCAGAACAGCTTGTATCTCATATTTTCAGTACCATAACAGTTAATATATGTTCTATATTTAGGAGCAAATGAGATACAAGTATTAAAAAAGCTGTTGAAACAAAGACACACAGTAATTTATCTGTTGTACTTTTTCTTCTCAGGAAAAAAAGACATTACCACTCCAGATGGCGGTCTGTATTTTGTCAGCTAAGCTGCTGTAGGTTTTGTTGCTGAAATAGCTGTTAGGCAGGTCTTTCTGAACACGTTTGTGCCTTGTACTTTTTCTTTTCCTCCTCCTTTCCTCCTCCAGATTGCTGAAGAGAGACGATTAGACATTGGAAAATGAAAAACTATGATCCTGCATCCCTTTATTAGAAAATGACAGACTTCTGTAGAAAATGGGCAAGGTTAACTTTAGTCTTTCAAATATCCTTCTGTTCCACCTTATATTCATACTCAGGTGTTTAATCAATAAATTGCCAAAGAATATGTAAGTAAATACTTTCAGTAATACCTTTCAGATTGTACCGTCAAAAATCTCGTTCTCTTTACTTTCCAGCATCATGTAAAAAAGTTTATTGGTATATGTGAGCACATTTGGAAGTTTCTGCAGGGCTGTTTGGTTTCATTAGACTCCCTGATCTTTACAAACTTTCTTGGAAAATTAAGAATATGTAATACGTGCAGGAATTAACAGGAGCCGTGGTTTGTAGAGAACAGTCTCTGGAGCAATCTTACAAAGTCTGTTTTATTGTGTGCACAAAACTAAAACCATCTGTGTGACTTGGTCTTAGCAATATTGTTTGGAGAGCCCTAAATCAAATCCTGAATGGGCAGGATTATGGAAGGCAAGTTTATACTAGAATCTTTCAGGTTGAACCCACAGATGTCCAGTCTTTTCTCCTTCTTAGCATAAAAAGTATTAGCAAGAGGTAAGATTGTGCTAGCTGTCCTTGTTTCACCAAGATCTGGCTTCTGCAAACAGGCTTTGTTTACAGAAACTGAAGTGAAAATAGCATGTGAACAGTATAAACTGACTGCGGTCAAAATAGTCCTGCATTTGCATAACTGTGCAGTATTTAAAGCATGCTTTGGTACAGCTTACTACAGACATTTCCTTGAGACTTAAGTCTTTCTCAGACATCTCTGAAGAAGTAGAAGGGTCTGGTTCTAAATAACATTATTTGTATAGTGATAGAAAACAATTTTAACTGTCTTATTACAGTTTTTGGTAAATGGACATTGACATGGACTACGAAAGACCCAACGTTGAGACTATCAAGTGTGTGGTGGTTGGAGATAATGCAGTGGGGAAGACTCGTCTGATTTGTGCAAGAGCGTGCAATACAACCTTGACTCAGTATCAGCTGCTGGCAACTCATGTACCAACAGTCTGGGCCATTGATCAGTACCGTGTCTGCCAAGAGGTAAGGACTGCAGGTTTACAGAGTAGGGAGCGCATGTCTTGAGGTTGCGCTAATATTTACTGGCTAGCCTTTCCCTGTCAAAATGTAACAGTGCACTCAGATGTATTGCATGTGTGGTCTCTGCTGCAGCCATGGTCTGGAAAGCAAGGAGGGCTGTCGTGTTCCTGAGTCTGTCATTCCAAAGTGTGTTGGTTTGTTTGTTTTTTAATTAAAACTATTTTAAGAAGATAAATATACTGCTTGTGTTTTATGAAATATAGCATTCACTGAAAACCACATGATAGACTCTTGATGTAGCATGTTTTGAATCTCCTTACAAGGCAAATTAGAAATGTACTTGTTTGATGGAGGAAAAGAACATAAGTTCTGCTCTGTTTAGGTCCTTGAACGCTCACGAGATGTTGTGGATGAAGTGAGTGTTTCTCTCAGGCTGTGGGATACGTTTGGGGACCACCACAAAGACAGGCGCTTTGCTTATGGAAGGTAAGTTGATCCAGGCTAAACTTTAAATAGTACTTGTAGTAAAATTTAGAGCATAAACATTTGCAAATCTTGATTTTTGAAAAGTAAGGACTTAAAAACAATCAAGGGTATTCCTATTCCTGCCTACTGGAAAGAGGATTATATACCAGAAGGATTAAAAAGAGATAAATATTTTAAAAGCAGTGTAATTTTACTACACAACATTTCCTTGAAATGCCTGCTAAGCTCTATCGACAAATGTCCCATTTCAATTTTTAAAGAACATTCCCAAAAATAAGATCATGGTTTTACAAAATTGAACATCAGTATTCCCTGCCTGATTAAGCAGCATATGATGTAATTGCCTACTTAATGCAACAAAACCTGCAATGTTGATTGGACAGCTCACATGAAATGGAAGCTCACACTGAATGAGCAGAGCCCATTCCACGAAAGGTGAGGTACTTCTGTATGCAGATATAATGACAGCAGACTACCTCTATGGAGGTTCAGCCAAAGAAGATGGGGTCTGAACAGTTTTGATTTTTTCCATAACTAACGAGGAACAACTAACAAGTAACTAACAACAACAAGGTCTCAATCCTCACATATTTTTTCTCCTTTTCTAACTTTTTTTTTCTCATGACTGGTTGTATCCATTAAGTTCTATAGTGTCTGTCCTATCTTCAGCTTACATTTTCCAAAACATACTTACTTTTCCTTCACTACATGATGAAATGAGTGCCTTTGGGAGATGATGGTCTTATCTTCATCCCTCAGAATCACTGCAGAAGGGTTCTGTGGTTGAATTCAGTTGTTAAATATTCACAGTACAAAACTATATAGCAGTTGGGACAAACTATCCTTTGCATACAGCCCTATGTTAGTAGTGTGCTTGCATGAATTAGCTTGAATTTTGTTTGTGTCAGGAGCTAAGGTGCAGCACCACAGTAATACATGGGGATAGAACATGTACCGTTTGTCAATAAGGTCTGTGTGTGACTTCAAGGTTAGCACTGATTTAATACTCAGTGCTACTCCAGTATGTGAGTAGATACCATTTTAACATTTGGCAGCATATGGAGGCTACTTTGATAAATTTGGGTGTAACTTAATGATTCCTCTGATTGTTCCTCTTTGGTGTGGCCTCCTGATATTTTGCAACAGATATTGTGCCACTGAGAAGATTACTAGAGATTAAGAGAACAAAATCAGGCATGTTCTGAACTCTGATCCACTGTTTGCTGACAGGATGGGAGAGGGGAAAAACAGGATACTTGTTGTCTAATCCTCCAAACACCGAGGAAGATGTGAATAAATGAAGATCTTACAGGATTAATCATACGAACACAGGGATTCATATGTGATGGTAGCAGAACTGAGTGTATGTAGAGTCAGATTTGTTATACCTGGTCAACTTCAAAAGGCTGTTCTGAAAACTTACTGTGCCATTAGTGGTTTTTCTTCTGCAAGTCCCGTAATAGAGTAAATCACTGGAAACTCCTATAATTACAATTTCGGTTCTGAAGTTTCCCAGTCGCAAACAATGATCAAGGACTTGAAAAATATCTATGCATACCAGTGTTTTATTTTAAGTCAGCCGTTTAACATTTCACCTATTTTAGCATTTCTAACATTTAATCATTCAAAAAAATACTGAATACTCATGTTTATAGGAATTCATTTTAAATAGCATACATTGAGCCACAATCTACTTATAGAGGAGTCAAATCTTGCAGCGAACAGTTTATACTAAACTGCTCAAGGCTACACCTAGAGGTACTCAGTGTCAGGCTGTCTGAAAGGTTATTTAATGAGATATTTCTTCATTTCCCTACAAAACCATTTTATGCATGTGCTCCTTGTGCAAGGGAAGGTTTATTTCAGCTGAGCACTCAACCAAGACCTCTAATTGTTCTAAACATGGTGTAACAAGAACCAGCAGGTCATTAATTCACTTGCTGCACGTTGGAAAAGATTGTTCCATACAGTTTTGCAAAATATTACATAAATAGATATGCTATAAATGACAGGGCAAACAGCTAAGAGGACTTGCGGCAAAGATAAATCCTTCTTAATTCTTTATTTTTCAGATAGAAACATTAAAGAAGATTGGCAAAAGGAATATTTTTCAAGTATTTTTGTGTGTGTGAGAGAGGAAGAAATAAACATATTTCAATACCACTGAGGATGGAATGGTTAATATTTATAGTGTCATCCTTTAAAATGAAAGTGTGGGGAGTGAGATCAGTCCGTGCTCTACTGCATGATGTTTAGTAATCACAATCCTACAGGAGCTTTGGGAAACAGATCCTGGCAGATTACAAGAGGGAAAGGGAGGTTGCAGTGATTTACCAGTGTCCCTGGAAGGCACAAAACTGCATGTTTAAAGACAAGAAAACATCTTTATTTACACTTCTTTCAGTTTGTCAGGATTCACTATCTATCCTTCTGTCCATTCTGATTTTGAATGTGTCAGCTTGTTGCTGTGTTCAAATTAATTCTAAAAGCAAAACAGGAAAAAGATTGGCTTGCACATTTTTTTCCCTCATGTAAACATATTCCAACACAGTTTGATTAATAACCTACAAAGTTTTTTCATATATGCAGCCCTAGTATGTGTAAACACAAGCACAGATCTCATTTGTGAAATCAAGAGTTAATTCAGTCTTGATCAAATATTTGTTCTCAATACTAGGAGTGTGGTTTGTAAGCTAATGTAGCCAGGATGATTTATTTACTTGCAACTTAAGTATGAGCTGTAGACCAAACAAAATCTGTTCATACAGATTGGGCAGCAAACGGCTTTTTCCTCGTGACTTACAAATGTGAATGAGCCTTTCTGTGAAACTACTGACAGAGCTTCTTAAAATATGTTCATAGTATTACCTCTGTTCTGAATGGACTTCATAATCTTTGTGGATATTGTATATACCCAGAGGTACGCAAGCATTCATCTTTTCCTCTGTGGTTATAGGTTTCCTAACAGGTTAATTCCATGTAATTGAATCCATAGAAACACACGTTTTGATCACTGCTGAAATGAGTCCATGAGAAAAGGTGTTAATCACCAATAGTTGAAGATTTTTGCCAATCTGTTTAAGGGTTCTTTAGTTTTCTGGGCTTTGTTGCTGCTGTTTTTTGGTTTCCTTAAAAAACAGCAATGATAGTGTTTCTCTAACAACAGAGCCCAGGTAGCTTTGATGTAAAATGTTATTTGCGTTCAGGAAATTTGGCAAGATTAGAGTGAAGTGGGTGTCTTCATTGTGTGCAACTGTGCCTTTAGTTAGATCATCTGTTACTTGCTGTCTGTGCCGAAGTTGGGAATGAGCCAGCAGCTCCTCTACTTTGTTCAGAGGAGTAAGATTTCAGAAATGCTTTGAAAAAGCCCACACTTTTCTCAGGACAAGGAATTCTGCTATTTTTATATTAGAATAATGATCCTATTTGCACATACCTTTCACTGGTTTTTTACAGGCAAGGGCTGGAGGGAGACTGCAGAGATGCATCTTTGCAGTAGTAGCACTTAGAAGAGCTTTTTGCTCTGCTGATAAAGAGTCAGCTGGTGGAGAATCCACTTCTTTCCAGATATGTATTTTTTTTGCTTTAACTACTTCTAGAGTGTTTAGCTGCCACAAAAAAAATAACATGCTGTATCTTCAAATCATCTTCAATTACCAACATTTTGAGCCTTTCCTGTAGTTTACAGTGGTTTATAGGCAATTCAGGTTCTTCATCAAGTAGTTCTGAAGTACTGTAAAGAAAATTTTGATATTTGATGCTAAATATTTTTTCTTTTGAGTTTGGTCACCCCCCAAGAAACACTATAATAAGTAGAGTTTCATAGATCACATTCTCAAAGAGATTTTCTTTTGATACGGAGTATATATGCACTATTTTTTTTTTCATTATGTACACTAACATTTCAGGCTTTTCCACTCAATCAACATGTAAGTATTTGCTTTATGTACTTAAAGCAGTAAAATCAGTGCAGATCTATTATTTGTCTTCTCTGCACACCGCCATGGCTGCATAGAATAGAAGGAGCTTGGGATTGCGGTTAGGAGTCCTTCTTTCCTTAAAAGGATGTGTACCTAATGAACTTTTAGTGGGATCTGAGGCTCTGTTTGACATACAGTAGAGAAAAACCTTTAATGTTTCAAAGTTTTCAAGTCACTCCTTGACTGGAGTGAAAAAGTATTTGTCTAATATTATTTGCTGTATTACATAGCTTTCCTTTTTTATCTTGTTCTCATAAGTCACTGTCTGGGAGAGGGAATGGGAAGAAGGTATTTGGGCTCTATCCTCAGGACTGCAATGCAAAAGCAAAATCTTTCAGAAGTGCTGAACTTGATAACTGACTCTGCAGAAATGTAGATCTCTCTGAATTATTTCTTTGTGAATACCTACCAGGTAGAGTTCTATTTTAAAGTTCTTAGTGTGAATTTCCTTATGTGTATATCAGGATACAGAAACCACTTGCATAACCATGTATAAATATTTTAAGTGGATTTCACCTACCAATAACTTCTTGAAATCAACTTGCAAGTTTGATTTCAAGATTGATTTAAACTTCCTGACAACTGTTTTTGTTTTTTATGTTTTTTTGTCATGTGCTTTATTTTTTTTTGAGAAATAAATGATTTTGGTGACAGCCCAAAAAAAAAAAAAAAAAAAAGTCTTTATTTTTTCTCTCCAGAGAATAAAGGTCTGTCAATTCTGTCAATTTTCATGTCTTCCATGACTTCAAAAGTTACTCTCATAGTGGATGCAAACCAGACACTGTAATTCTCTCCTCCGCTCTAGACTTTTGCCTTTCTTTGTCCTGGGCTTTCTACTGTTGCCTTTCATTAACGCTTATAAAAAATCATCATTTATATGAATGTTAGGATCTAGCTTTGAATCTTCATTTTTCTGTTTGCTTTCTATACTCACATCCATTCCCTACCTTTAGGGTTTTTTTTCCTTCTGAATTTCATTGGTTCAAATAGTATTTCAGCAAAATCTCTTACCTCCCTCAG